AGAATATATTTAGATGATTTATATGTTTAATTAAGGTCAATTGAAAATGGTTATTAACTTTATTTTTTCTATGTCAAAAAATTAAATGCATTAAAAAAATAATTCACAAATAAAAAAAGGTATATTTACAACATCGCCCGATTAAAAACTTGAAGAATTTTCATAATAATTTAAAAACGTTTTCAATATTAAAATCGATTGTGATTCTGTCAGTATTTTAGATCTAAATCTTATAAATTATATGTGCTGTTTTATTTACAACATTAAACACAATAAAAGCGATAAATATAATTCTTTGTGTAATTATTACAAAAGAATAACGAATAATAACTAACAAAATAAATAAACCCATTCATATATGTGTGTATATAGTATTAATAAATTATTATTAAAAATGTTTCGTACTTGGTCCACAGATTAGATAACACTGATAATACTAATAATATTGTGCGTATAATGCATACACACATATGATAAATAGTTATGTATAATGTTTTATGATATTATCTGTAACATTATGTAGAAAAGTAAAAAATTTGAAGATGAACACGTATTGTTCGATGAGCCATCAACATAGGCGCAATTTCAATAAAAAAAAACTGAGGATGCTTAAGCTTTGTATTTATTGGGTATTTAATGTATATTAAAACTATAAGGATTTAATGAGTTGATTTTTGAATAAATACAAATAAAGGTTCCGGTAGGATTCCGGTTTTAAAATTAATTTAAATTAGGGTTTCGGTGAACTTGACAAAATGTGAATTGACGTTTGTGAAGTAACATTGTTTTCATTTATATTTCATTACAGTTTTATACTCTAATAGTCAAATGTCTAATGACAAAAATAAGTTTTTGATACATAAACACGAACATTATTTGAGGATGCTAACTGTAAAATAGGGGGTGTTAATGCCCCCTAAGCCCCTCATATTTGCGTCTATGGTCATCATAACTGCTGGGTAAAGAGGACAATTTACGTGGTACTGTAGAATCTCGAGAAATCGATGTATTTTATTAGTCATGAATAATAATTGGGGCTTCTAAGTTCATGCATTTGCATGTTTTTTTTTTTTTTGCTACACCGGAAAACATGCTAAGTGAGATACAAATCCGTTTCATTACAAATGTAGTACAAATTTAAAGTTTAATAGTGCATGTTTTTGCATGTATTGGGTATATTGGCATATTTTGCATATAGTTGATTTTTTGGAGTTATTAGCACATATTATTTCGTGTCAATTCAGCAAAATCGTTTTTCGTGGAAGTTAAAAAAAAAAATGAGATCAATAAATGCTTAAATTCATTCTTATACTCTTCCAAACATATTAACAAAATCTTAGTATTTTATCAGTTATTTTTATTATTGTATGACACTGGGTTTTATGAGTTAAAAGTAATACCACGAAAACAATGTTATTGCGCATCGCTAACACCTTCCTCTTATTAACGTGCTCATTGCAATCTATCAATTTATTTTCGTCCCAACATATTACATATTGAGAATGTGTGTAATCGTTATTTGACTAGTCGCTATATTTTTTTTTGTACACAGTTCAAGATTTTTAATTCATAAAAATTGATATTTTAATATTTTTTAGTGCATATTTTACAGCGTTTAAGTGCATTATTGTATGCTTATTTATGCGTTTTTAGTGAATGAACTTACAAGCCCTGATTATAATCAACTCAGATAATTTGTTTTTACTTTGGGTTAACGATATCCTACCGAATTGTGGAATTTTAAAATCGAGATCCATTACATTATACGCGATTCCCAACTAATTAGTATAAAAAATTAAATTGAAACCTATGTATTATTAAAATGTGGGTGTGTTCTGGGCGTGTATCCGGTATCGCGAGTATATTATGACGATTTTACATCGAAATCGTGTTACCCACTATCAGATCATCGCGATACGTCAAATATATTATGCGCGTATAATCGCAGACCCGTCTGGCAATCGAATACCAACTTTCCAATAAACATATTTCAAAAACACATATCCGGAATCCCGAACATCGAAAACGCATAACGTCATTATCTATAGGTTCGCCATGAAATATCGAGCGACGACGCCACGGCACCGTTATCAAATGATATTAATGATAGTGTCATAATAATGTTTAGTGATACTTGCGCAACAGATAATTCGATAGCTGGAAAGTCTGTCTAGACGAACGGAAAATCATTTCTACAATCGAATATTTCAAACGAATACGTAGGATAACGTATTTTAAAAATAATTTTTCAATCTGATTCTTCTGATATTTCAAAATATATGATATACAAGGTTTTCAATAGAAATATTCTTAAAACATTCGAAATCCGATATAGACTACGGTAATCATAAAACGATAGCAACTATTATTACTTAACAAACGCGTTCACACTTTAATATTTTAATTGATTATTAATAACTATTAAAATTAGTTTGTTGATTTCGTTCTCTTTAGCAGTCACCAGACCACCGAACTTTAACTAGACTACTACTTCTATCGTATCTCATATTTATATGGTATAATACAGTCGTACTTACAACCTTTTAGACTCAAGACTCACTTTTCCTACCGTACATTTTTCGGGACCCATGTTAGCTTCGTTAGTCATAAAACCAAAAAAAAAAGTTAAAGTTGCTTAATGTATGCCATTTTAGAAGTGCTTTTATAATTCAATATATAACAATTTATATTTTTCTATAAATCTAGGTAATATTTAATTTTTATTACAAGTAATGATATAAAAAAAATATATGCAATAGTACAAAAAACAAAATTAGTGTGATATTTGATCCTAACAGTTTTTATACAAAATACTTTATTTTATTATTATTTTATTTATATATTTTATTTATCTCAGCTCAATTTTATAAAAAGATCATTATTATATATATATATATATATATATATATATATAATATATATGATTATAGAGATCACATATAACCAGTGCCGTAAATAGTGGGGAAGAAGAAATTTTTTAACCGGATCATAAATTTTAGGGTCCCGAATTGAGTTGTTTTCATTTTATGAACATAATACCATCTGGTATGGAAATGGGATGGGTGACGTTGACGAGATAATTATTATTATTTGACGAGAAAAGTGAGAAACATCCGGTACGTAATCCATACGAATTACAACAAGATAATAAATATATAATATGTATTGCATCCGAAATGTTGATTTATTAATTCATCTAATTACCGAGATTCTACTGTATTGATCTACACACGCGCGCGCGCGCGCGCACTTCAACGTAATATAATACGCGTGTCCTGCGGCGATTGTCGTATCCGTTTATCGTCGACCACTACTATCTCGCGCGCACGTCTTGACTCCGTTTACTTGAACACAGCCCGCGGGTCACGAGCACAATCATGATTTCGATGATTAACTGCCCGTGATCGTCCGGATCGCCCGGTATTCTGTGTAACATTTAGGTGCACCAGACATAAAAAAGTCGATAATAATAATATGATACGTAATAATAATAACACCATGTACACTCATAACGGACGTATGTGATAATATTGTGTTAAAAATGAGCGTGGCGCGTGCGGTCGGTCCAAAAGCAATAATTATTCACTTTCCGCACGCGTGCGTTGTGTCCATTCACAGATTGCAGACGTCCGTGGCGGAAAAAGTAAAGACAGAGAGAGAGAGAGAGAAATCAAATTGTATTACGCGTGACGATACCGACAATATTTGTTGAAGCCGACACGCGCGTATGAGAGATAATACCACGGTATCCTCGTTGAGTCGGCTTCAAGCGTAACGACTTAATAATAATAAAAGAACAGTCTAATGTGTATTACGTACAAGAACGAATAAATAAATATTTATAAATAATAAATAAACTCTATGGCCATTGAGTATATGGTTCTATAAGTAATATCGGTGAAATATCGCTCTGGCGAATAAAAAATAAATAAAAATAAATTACATGAATGATATTCGGAATAATAATTATTCGACTGTGAGCGGTGTATTAAAAAAAAAAAAAAAAAAAAAACTTTCATTTATAATAAGTAACGTTAATGTATCTCGCAAAAATTAAAAATAGCCACTTATGGGCATGACACCCATATCCAGTGGCGTAGCAAGGGCACCATGCCTACGCAAAGGGCGCAATCCGCAAAGGAATGTAAAATTGTGCAAAAGTTTTATTTTTATTCTACCTCCAAAACGAAATTTGTCTGTTATACTTTATGACATTTTGTCTAATTGCACATACTGCGTGTGAATTTGATGATGAAATTATGAAAATAGTACAAGGGAATTCATATAGGAAATTTAGTTTAAAGAAATAATTTATGGAATCGTCAATATTAAATCGAAAAAAGCAAATGTTTAAAGTTTAAAATGTACACTGTAATAATAAGTAATAAATGTAAATTGTATTCTTCATATATTACATAAATTATTTAGTTAGTAAAAAGTCGTTTTTTTTTCTAAGTTTGCCAGGGGCGATATAAAGTCTTCCTGCGCCCACTGATTCACTAGTAATTTTATTACTATTGAGAGTGATCTGCAATAAATAGAATAAGTAGCCTTCATTTACGCATACATACTCATGTATGATGGGTACAGTGAAATACAATGAAGTGATTTGCGCAAGGATTCTTTTGGTTCAATAATTGCTCGAAAAAATGAAACATTTGTACAAAATTTACATCAGGCCGTAGTGCACAATTTCTTGCTAATCAAAAAAAATAGAATAAATGAAAACGTTTATTGTATTGTTGATTAGTCGGTTTGTGAATAAATGTTACATTATACGATCGGTATCGATATTAATGAAACACGTTATAAGTATACGAAATAGTCTTATTGATGCAACTACAAAATGTTTTCCGATTTTGTACAGCAGTTACAACTTCCGAAAGTTCAGATTGCAATAATACTACCAACAGTGTTATCATCGATTGTTATCTAATCGTTAAGTTAAAAAAAAGTATTTGGTCGGTGTTAATAAATAAACGGATGAACGGAAACATTACCAATCATTTTTCGCCTGAAGTCCACTACGTGTTCGTCACCGAATGAAACGCAATATCGTTGACACGAATAAGCTGCTGGCTCTGCGTAAGTATCGCGTTTGAACACGGAACCGGCGTCGTAGACAGTAGCGTCTGGAATAATTACAAAAAATAAAAAATCCGTTGATTAAAAAACCACAGTGAGCATAAAAATATCGATGGTTCATCGAGACGGTGCGACGGTGTTGTGAAGTCGTTTGAAAACGAACAGTTATAGATACGTTTTACGCTGACGCAAATTCATCACGAGTCGGAATACCTGTATCGTAGTGTGCGTGGCGGTTATGTTCAAGTGTCCGTTGTAGAGGAGAGACCCGCTTGTCCGTCGAAGCTGCACTGCTGCACTGAACTAAAACCAGAAGGCCTACCGGCGGCCCAGGAACCACGGCGAATGACGACCTTGGCCGTGACCGAGTGCTCTGTGAACGGATGTTCACCCTCTCCTTCCGGTGGCCCGACGAAAAAGTCGATTCCGTGTCGCACCGGGCGATCGCGTTACCCATGTTCCGACGCGTCCCACGCGTTTGCTTTGATCCCGTTTCGACACCTTTTCCGTTTTGCGATTTGAGGGCGTTCGTCGAGACCGTGATCCACGTCTATAAAGGTTATACACTATCGTATTTGAACTGCGAGCATGGATCGCTCGGCCGAGTTCAAAACTGTGGTTTGGGGGCAGAAAAGTCCAAGCTCGCCGGCCTATTAGGCGGGTCATTGGCTTGTGGTCCGAATCGGAACATTTTGGACGTGGCATTGCTGGACCGCAACGAAAACAGTAAATGATCCGGTCCAACCTTCCAATATATGATCCGGTATAGCCAAATCATATAAAATAATACGATTTGTTTTTAATCCCTATCGCGATTAACAATGACCAAATTAATTATCGATTATCCGTGCGTTCAGGCACGTAACCAGACATATTTCTATAAGGGGGCCAACATTTTTTGGCCCCTTTCTGTAGTTGTGTTTATCAAATGTACGTTCGACATCCGTATTTGAAATTCCTAGTTTTTTATCTATTAATACACGTACTATTGCCTTATCTCAAATTGTCAAATGATGAATATTTATAAAATAGAATCTTAGAGTTTAATTTTTGTTATACGATCGTTAATTATATGCAATGGGCGTATGTACACTCCGTCACAAGTACCTTTTTTTTTACTGTAAACTCCACCAGAAAAATAAAACAGGTAAAATTGGGTTCATGTACACTCCGCCACTAAAAAAAATCAGGTAAAATTGAATATATGTAAACTCCACCAGTGAAGAAAATCGAGTAGTAGTATAAAATTAATATGATATATTATTAAAAGTAATACTTAATAAGTAATGACCGGATTTATATTCTCTTTAAATACCTTAAATATGAAGCTAATATTCTTTAAAAAACCTTCAAATATTCTCATTATATTCTTTTAAAAATATGCAAAAATATTCGAAATCATACAAAAATAATCAACGAACATTAATATATACTTAATATACTTTTTTTTTTTTCTACGACATTCTTTTAATCGTGAAATATATACGTAGATGCGTATTATAATGGAATACTATTGTATTTCAGTAAGAGTAGGAATATAGTAAAAATATAACAGTAGAGTCTATAGCAGGGGTGGCCAACATGACTATGTACGCGAGCCACATGTATTAATAAAATTATATCAAGAGCCAAATTATCTAATGTGTACTTTTATACCACAAAAGTAATAAAGATAGCAAACAGCCGATAAACATATCAAATTACGAAATATGAAATTATATCGTTTTTAATATAGTCTGTAGTCTGTGTTGAATAGTCCTATTGTAAACACCTCAATTTTTTTTGTAAAATATTTGTAATATTTAATAATTATATTTGTAATATTTTACCGATACTTATTGCGAAAGTTAGTTACAATGTCAATTTCTAATAAAGCGGTTAAACGTAAATATGAAGAAGAAAAACGGGAATTTAAATTAGAATGGGAAGAACTATACTTTTTCATACAGAAAAACGATAAACCATTTTGTGTCATATGTCAAGTTACATTATCACAGTTTAAGGTTAGTAATTTAAAACGGCATTACGAAACCAATCACAGCACATTTAGTCGAGAATTTCCTATTGGTTCTGATTCGAGGAAAAATAAGCTATGTTCGATGAATACCACGCAAACAAAATTAGCTTAATGTTTAATTTTTTAATTTATTATTCATATTAATTAATTTTTTTTTTTTTTTGATTTAATCTATATTCTATCCACTATAATACTAAAGCCTTAAATAAATACAATAAAAACATTTTTTTATAAATGTATACAAAAAAAATTTAAATATTTTGGTTTTTGTAAATAAGACCGCGAACCGCATACAACTGTGACGAGAGCCGCATGCGGCTCGCGAGCCGTGATTTGGCCACCCCTGGTCTATAGTATTAAAATTTAAAAACAATATTCCTTTGGTATATTTTAATTAAATATTGTATTAACATTATAGTCATAATATGAAAAAATAACAAATAATCATATATATTAAAATATAATAGAACAAAAAAATTAGTTAACACAAGATATAAAATAAAAATATAGGTATATATATATGTATAAGAAAAAAAACAATATTTCTTTGGTGCATACAATGGTGAGTTTTTACTTTCTGGAGAATAAAAAAGAAAATTGAAATACTATTTAAATTTTATTATATGAATTAATAATAATATACTTTTCCATATTATCTATACGCATGTTAGTTCTTCTATCACTTAAAGTTTGTTTATAGAGACTAAATGAACCTTTAACATCAACAGATGTTAGAGGTGCAAACTTCATGTAAGCAACTACACTGGGTGTAAAATATTCTAGGAGATCTTCATTATTTCCACATAAAATGTTTTTAACTTTTACTAACATTTGGTAACCTTTTATTTAACATTAACTTTAACTTTTTATTTATTTCTTTGACATAATTGAGACACTTTAGTTTTCATTATGTTACTTTACCAGAGCTCTTAATACACGTGAATTCACGGAATTCACGTGTAACGTGTCACGTATCAAATCAAAAATTAAAACGTATAACCTTAACTTAATACTGTACTTATAATATTTTATTAAAACTTCAAGTACATAACATAAAATTAATAATTTTACCATTATAAAAATGGATATATATTTTGAATAAACACGTATTTCACGTGACCCGTGAGATCCGTGACACATGTTTTAAGAGCTCTACCCTTTACACCAGGTATATTGGTTGGTTTGCAAATAATAGCTTGTACAATCTCCAACGATGACACTTAAGTCAAATATTCTAAAATATGTTAAATGGGCTAAATATTCTCTAACCTATGAAATATTCTCAAATATGCAAAAAAAAAAAATGTTTTCTACAAACTCAGAATTGAATGAATCGTCCACATTTTTTACTCTCATAAGAATGCATAGACACAATAACGATATGTAAAAACATATAAATCCGGCCTTTAGTAATAAGTAATAATAAGTGAATATTATTATTATAATATTATATAATATCATACCTCCATTTTATTTCACCAGACGCATATTTTATATTTTGGTTATGTTTGTAGTTGTTAAATAAAACCAATAAATTGCCTCATTGACCAGTAATTAATTTTATATTATTACTTTATTGCGACATATTTCGTTCAATATAAAATATACACGGACACACGCAAACTACGAATGATTATGTTCGTCAAAGTATACTTTACGTGTACCTTACCTACTGCCGATATCATCATTGGAAATACTAATTTCAGGTAATATGAAGATAAAATTATTAACAAATGAATCAATGTGGATATATCCACCTTGAAATGAATTGAACCATGCCAATAATTTTATCAATTTCGACTTACATCATCGCAATAGATGTCAACGTATTTAATGTGAGAAGGTACGTGGCAATGCGAGTACTTAGCAGGTAAAAAAAAAAAAACTGGAGGAGTTTACATATACCCATTACAGGTAAGAATTTGCAGGAGCTAAGAATTACAGGTAAACTGGTGGAGTTTACACTAGACCTTTAATTATATTTTTATCTTAACCGATATTCTAGTGGAGTTTACAATCACCCAAATGGAATATACATTCAGGATTTAGCCGGTTTGGGACAACTAAACACCATAATATTTAAAAATCAAAATCAAGGGGGCCAGTTCGGGGCCACTGATTTTTCATAAGGGGCCAGGCCCTCTAAGGCCCCCTCCCTTGACGATGTGCCTGCGAGCGTTATCTATCTTTAACGATTAAAGATATTATTATTACTTCTGCAGCTTACGTTACTGTTAATTGTTCTTTATAAGTTTATTTATAAAACAAATACAATATGGACGTGGACAATTTCATGAAGTCTGATTTCCTAGCTTCATTTATTGATATTTATTGATATAATTGGTTGAATTATATGTTTTTATTATTACAACGTATAACGTTCTAGATACTAAAACAATGGTAAGTTAATAAATTTGATAGTATATATTAAAATCATAAAATTGATTAAAAAAATTCCGTGGAATTAAATTTATGGACGTATAATGTATGGGCCAAATCGGCTCACGAGTCAACGGCTCGGCTAAATGCTCGCGATCCAAATTCGATGGTGTATAGATACCTTATGCTCCTGCACCCCGTGTGTTGTCACGTACGACGGCGTACTGGTTGAGAGAGCGCGACGTTAATTTAAACATCGTAAGGTGGCGGCAGTTGAGGGAACGTGTCGATCTCCGTGACGAGGTCCACACGCGGTCGATAACTGTTCAACTTTTTCCGTCGTCTGCGAACGGAACGGAAATGCGGTTTGCACTTTCAGCACTGCGACGGCCGTCGGAACACGCGCGTGAACGTCCCGGTATCGATTGATCGGCGTACTCGCTGTTATCGCATCGAAACCGGAACACGCGTGGTGCGCGTGTTCTATGCACCACCACGGATTAATTGGGACGCTGGATCTAGGTGTGGATGGATTCGCTGGCAAAACCCAGATTCCGGTTGTCACATGGTTCGGGCTTCATTGCGGAACATCTAAACAAATCGACGGTTCGCCGACCCACGATTCGAGGCTAAACGCCGCACGGTTCTCACTCGATCGCATTGTTCTATGAACTGTGCGTGAACACCGAGCTGCAGAATTTACCGTGAACGCGTGTTGTGAACCTTTCAATTGTATTGGTTTCGGTCGGGCAAAAATGAAAACAACGCGAACTAAAAATGTGGTTTTAAGTTTCATTGAACGAGTAGTGATTAAAATGGGGGACACGGAGTCCTCCTTATTTAAGGTAAGATTATGCGTCCTCTTTAATTTAAATCGCCAAATGTCCGGGTGGACGCTTAATGGTATTGGTCACTTAGGCTAGGATCACATTATACATTTGGTCGGTTTCCGACGAATCGGAGACGATCGGTAATTAAACCGCAACACTCAAAATATAATAGGTTTAAATATAAATCGCGTTATCGGGGCCAGACTAGACCGATTTGTGGAACCGATTAAAAACCGTCGGGAAGCGACCGTAATGTGTTGCGTTCCAACCGTCCGGATACGTTTTGGGATGTAAAGCACAACGCATGCAATTGAGTTTGTCCGATCACACTTGCGCGGATTATCGGTGACCGAAATTGAAAATGAATTAATAATCATTTTTAAATTATATTTGTAATATACTATATACCTATATATTTATTTTATTATCAATACATTAGATTATGTTTGATACGGAAAAATTGATTATTTTGGAAATTCAAAATTTTCCATGTCTCTGGGACGTGAGTTCTTCTTCATATAATGATAGGGATATAAAAAGGTCATGTTGGCTCAAAGTAGTAGAATGTATGTACCCTGAATGGGAGAATCTCGACGACAAGGAAAATAAGAAAAAAGGTAAGTACTAAATTATATGAATATACTACAATTTATAATAATTATAAAATAATAAATTAACATACGATAATAATGGAAAAATTTTTCAGGATATTTTTTTAGATTATTATAAAATACTTGAAATTGTATGTCGTGCTCTCTACTACTATGTATAGGGTAGACCCAATACATTCTGCGCTTTTGTGCTGGTTTTTCAAGTTCACCAGTAGCTTCAGCTATACAAATTATTTTTAGAAGATAATTAATTTCTATGTATAGTTATAATTATTACAATAAAAATATATTAAACTCATTAATTAAATCAATTATATTTTGAATTTATAAACACTTACCTGATATAAATTGTATAGAGTAAAGTAATATTATGCTTTTAGAAGATTAATAGGTTTTTAAAAGAACAAGTGAACACGTTTGTTGCACCAAATAGACTGAAACACCGAATAACATATTGACTAGTTTGATTTTCATGATTATATTATATAACTTATAATATTAGATACATTTCGTTGAGATCAAAAATCAATTTTAAATTAAAATTTTAATTTAAAAACGATTTCCGCGCTTTTTAATCTTGTTTGTATGGATTCGGTTACCGATAAAACGCACAGTATGATCGGTCGTCCCGATTGCGGTTGATCGGGATAGTATTTTTCGGTTGCCGACAAAACGTATAGTGTGATTCTAGCCTTCAATACAATATTTAATATACATTACTAATTATAATATTACAATATTGCATGAAATTTATTTTCTTTATTAAATAAATAATATAATAATAATAATAAATAATAATAATAATAATAATAATAAAATAATTTTCTTGATAAAACAAATGGAAAAAATGTCGAAGAAATAATATTTAGGTATAACCATAAGCAAAAATGGTAGATAATGTACACCATGGGTTAATTGATGCTGTGTCTAATTATAGATGATCCCGAGCGGCTGTTACCCATAGCTCTAAAATTAAATGATAATGATATCGACTATTATTTAGAATAAATATAAACAAAATAGAATAACTATAAATAGTAAAAATATTAAATTGTGATAAAGGATAGACACTATCTTATAGATAGTACACACTTTATGTGCAATATACGTATTTGTTACTGTCTACGTTGACCAATAACTATCAGGTTAGTAATTGTTTCTTTTTAGTTTTGTTAAGTTTAAATTAAATTTTTTAAACATTAACTACTATGTATTTCAATTTATGTTTTTTTTAGCAGGCATATGTACATAGGCGTGCGCAGACTTTGTCTGCAGGGGAGGCCCTTAAAAAAAGTCAACCAAAGATTCTTGTACTAAACACTACTAGTATAATTAAATATTTTAAAATTTATAAATTATTTAAATAATTCAATATGCAAATATAAAAATAAATACTATTTAAACTTACACAATTTATATCTAAGAAATCCTTATTTACATATTATTATACTATTTACAACTCCATCCTTCTGTCAATGGGAGTAAAGTTTTTGAATGTATCAATTACATCTTTAATTATTATATTATAATATATCAGATCAGTGGTGTGGCTATACAGGGAAGGGCTTCGGTGCCGTATAGCTCTCAAACTGATATTATCCTCACATAAAAATTCAAGGTATACACATTATATTATTATTTTTTTTTTTTTAAATGTGAATAATTATTTATTACGAAATGATAAATAAAATTAATTGCCAGATAATTAACAGATGTGCAGAGTAAAAAGAAAAGGTCGTTTACTAGGAGGTACCTATTATAAAAAACAAACAAATATTGCAAACAAATAATTATTATTTTGCTTCAATACTGATTGTTACTGGAACCACCACGTACAATTAGGAAAGTTAAATACCATCAACATCGTTAAATATTTTAGGGAAGTATAGTTTCAGAAAATTTCTGAAAATTTAATGTCTAAGGTGCCCCCCTATGCTCCGTAGCCCTAGGACACTATCCCGCTTCGTCATATGATAGCTCGCCACTGTATCACTGTTCATTAGATGAATCTAGTTAAAATATATTTTTTTTACTTTTTTAGAGTTATTTTTCAAAATAATTATAAATTTATACATAAATCCAATACGATATCTTTATTATTATAATTTAAATAATTTTTTCCCGAAGTTACGTAATATGCATCAAACTTAGTTTTATTTTATTTTAACTAACATAATTTGTACAACTAAATTAATAATTACTAATGAGTATCGAGTAATGGATTTTCGATTATTTGAATTTATTCATTTTATATAACATAATCATTCGTTATTGAAAATCATAACATTGTTATTTTGCTCGGCAATTTTCAAAAAACTTTCTTAGCTCTCATAAATTATATAAAAATTTACCGTTCACACAAACCATTATTTGAGAACAAAAGTGGTCGGAGACAAATGCCAGATGGAAATATTGGGGAGGGTATTACCAATAGTCCAATACTTATACAGCTTATTCAACGATTGGCGTTATTCTTAAAATCATGAGCCGACCCCTTCGGCCAATGATGGTCTACCGCACTACAGGTATCGGATTGTATTGTATTACGATTCCTCTGAATTTCAGAAATAATAATATAAATATAACAACGGTTTCACACAAGCTATGACCTGTATTTAATACAATAGGATGTCCAACGTACAGCAAAAATAAAAATAAATACAAATTAATTAAACATACAATCGATTATACAGAAGAAAAACACTGCACGTCACATTGGTGTCTACTGCAATGTAATACCATTACTTTTTTTACTATGACACAATGTTTGAAATTCACTGTTAAATTGAGCGAGTTACACAATACAACACTCGCTAAAATTGTTATAAAAATTAAAATAAAACACTTTTTTCATGTTCTTTGTTGGTACCAGATGTAACTTGCAATAATTTTAGTCTCCGGAACTAAAAAATACGAGGTTCAATAAAAAAATTTCAAAACACGATAACAATTAACAATAATAATCTTGAAAACACTTGACCAATGAAATATCATGAAGAAGCAATGCATAATACTTATAAGATGTATAGGAACTATTAAGACAACGATGAACTTGAGTAGCGCAAAATCTTTAATATATGCATAAAATAATTACATGTTGAAATGCACAGAATGTATTAAGTACTCTGACAAAAAATGTTCAAGTAAACGTTTAATGTTTTCTTAATTTCTTTTGTGTTATGCTTATTATCAAACTGATGTACTAAACTTCAGTATTCGTGTAAATTGTCAAATGCACCTGGAACAACGGTTAATGCGAACCAACAAAAATGTTACAAAAGGTTTCTCGAAATAGTGAACAATAATGCATTGTATTATGCATTGTTCAAAAGGACCAGTCCAGGTGAGTTACCGAGAAAATTTCGGTGAGCCAACCGCGTGACCGCGTGCACAATGCACACGCATTATAGATACTTTTATTGGTATTATGTAAAGGTACACAAAACATTTCTACCGAAAACCTAGCGTTCAGTTCGTGTACAAATTTGTTCTTGAATCATTAAAAATTCGTGTAAGTAC